GAATTTTTTAGTCTGCGCGCATACGTGCACTATTTCCTTTCACGCTGAAAAAGCCACTTTTTCCGCGAGGAAGGAACTGTAATAGACGTGTGTGCGGAGGATAAAAATTTGTTTGATTGTGGAGGTGTCAAAACTTACAGGTATTGTGGACAATGACGACACGCGTGATTTCACACAGCAGTCTACTCTTGTGCTGGCGCGAGTGTCCAAAATAACTTCATAACAGAACAGCGTCTCGTGGAACTCCCCTTTCACAGTTTGCCTCTGAATCGGATGGACTTTTGACGTTCTTCGATGTCGAGTTACGTGGTTTTACGGTTATGTTCGTTCGATGGGTGGTTTTTGGACTTGTCGTGTTGCCCCTAGTTGGCGCGCTACACTCGCCCAAGCTTGAACAGAAAATGTCGACGATGTTGTCGTTTGATTTACGTCGAAAGACCAAGCATCACCGACAGAGGAACTCTAGCACCACTATGACTCCAACACCCGCGCCAAAAACAGACGGCGATCAAGAGGAGATGGAATTCACTCTGCGGGTTTGTTTATTTAACGAAGTTGCGCGTACACATAAACGTCAAACCTAAACAAACTTTATACAGGTGTCAATGTTGCCGTACTCTTATATATGCCTGGAAAATCTTATTTGTACGTCTTCACAAGGAGTTTTAATTCTGTTTTGTCTCATATACACAGAGTACATCATATGCTTATGTTATTGAATTGGATTTGGGAACGCCTCCACAACGGGTAACGTACTATTTGTTCACCAAGAAGATTGATCAACTTAAAATTTCACCAAGTATTGTCCTTGCATTGTTAGTGGACAGGTAGTGACAATAAATTAAACCATCAAGCAATTTAAGACTGGTATTAAAACGAGATGTGCTCCAACAGAAGTGGTTTATAAACCACAAAGCAAACTTTATGTCACTGATGTCTTTTAAAATAATGTTTAACTACAGATCGTTGACAGGTTGATATAATGTTGACCGTTTGAGTCCGTATCTTGAAGTATACGTTTGAAGTTTGGCTAGATTTGTTATATATATGTTGCGTACCTGGGACGGCAAGGAACGGCTCTGCCACAGTGCCTTTCTCTACCTCGTTGTGTAAAAATGGGTGGTGCATGTAGTTGAGTCTACCTGTCAAAGATGCTGGGAGGGAGTGGGGGTAGGGGGCGTGGTACAAATGATGGCCTAATGTTTGAGTGGCGATTTAAATTAAATTTCTTCTCATTTTTTCTGCTTTAAAATATTTTGAATTTGTTTTCTCTACAGTTGGAATTTTTAATTGATACCGGTTCTTCGAACATGGCTATTGCAGGTGTGAACTTAACGTTTGGTTGTATGTGTTCAGTTATAACTAGACTGCTCCTATATCTAATAAACTCCAAGCTATGACGGGGTTTACATAAACAAATTCTTAACAGGTTCTCGCTTCAATTTTTGCCGTTGAGTAATGCTTTTTTGAGCRGCCTCCCTACTGAAATTAGCATAGGAAGCACAGAAAGTGACTCTATTAAAATAAAATCTGAGTGAATCTGAAAATTAGGTCATTTCACGGCGGGTAAATTATCCGGAACAAAAACTTGCAAGTTTTGTTCTGTCACTGCTGAAGCCGAAGTGTTTGACTAAATAACTTGCAATCACAATCAACTCACCTCTGTTTTTTTCGTTTTGTCCATTCTCTGAAGGTCCAAAGTGTCAGGATGAAATGGATCACAAGTGTGAGATAGAAACGTATTATTATCCTGAAAAGTCAAGTACATCCGTAGACCAACATATACCAGTGAGTGTAATTGGTTGCGTTATATAGCTGGTGTGTTTATGTAACGCTTTCGAGTGGTATACCATGGAATCTCGCACGAGTCACTTGCATTTTCTCGGTATAAACACGATTTTTTTTTTTATTATACACCACGTCATAGAAAATAAAGTGGTTAACACAATCCGTGTACGCACAATGGGAAGGCTGGGGATAATACCGTCGAGTATACAACGGCTTTTCTGTTTGGCTGTATTTTCTTGAGCATGGTATAATTAGAGATAACTTCCAGTGACTTTTAAACTCTTATTTTGGAGAACGCGTAGGACGGCGGCTGCATTTTTCGAATTTTCATTTAATTTGAAATTAAACGCTGGCGTTACATATTTAGCTTGAACAAGTTCTGAGACCAATAGGCGCACTGAAAAGATCTAGACAATTGCGAAATTCGAAGGTAAAAGGTAAATTCATTTTTGACTAGGCGTTGTGCTCGAGGTCGCCATCTCTCTATTTGCTGGCACGACGGATGTAAAACATCCCATGTGTGAATATATTTCCTTGTCCACTACTCCGATCCGTTGAACAACTTGTATTTTTCTGTAACACAGATAGAAACAGAATATGGTAAAGGGGCGTGGTCGGGAGACATTTATCGGGATGTCGTAGCGTTTCCAGGTGATGGTAAGTTGAGAGCTGTATACTTTGTGATCATGAAATAAAAACCGTATTTTTTTT